CACCATTTCTACCTCCAGCTACAACAGTTTTTCCTTTTTCTGATCTTGCGTCTCCTTTGTACTCGATATCATAGGGATTCCACTTGCTCAGGGGTGTTAGATAGATGATTTCAAGTGGAATAGCGTAGGACCATTTTTGGTGCAGCGTTGTGCATTTTCTCCACCTGCATCTGGTGAGGTCCATCCCAGGGATTCTTGGCTGTGTAGTCATGGCCATAAAGAGGTTTTCGTCGGAGTAACCTCGATGTCTTGTGGATGCTCCCATAGCGTCTCTTCTTGCAGCTTTGAACCAGCGATGATATCGATCAGCTTTCAACTTGACGCCTTGTTTTCCAGGTGCAAGAGATAATGCTGCCAGATCAAAAGCCTCGTCAGAGAGAGCTCCTAGGTAATTGTCTTTTCCTGGAATCTTTGAATAAAATAGAAAACATTATTAGCTGACTTGGATACTGAACTCTGGAATCCAACAAGGGATTTACCCAGCTACTTTATAAGGAACCAAACTAAATGTCATAGGTACGTACCTCACCCATCAGTTCATCGAGCAAACCGAAATGCTTTCTATTTTCTCTTTCGCTCCAAGTGTCCTCATCAAAGGGATTGACCTGAAAACGTGCGCTCCTTGACTTTGAGTGCTCAYCATAGGTTCTTTTTGCAGACAATCGAGATCCAACTTCATCGACCACTCGTAATCGGTTCAGGGGTAGATCTCTGCTGATTGGATGGCAAAGGATGCGATAGTTCCACTGGGCAAATTGAGGAACACCATCTTCGGTCACATTCATAATTGTTGTGGGGAGAAACGAGAAGTTCTCTAAACTATCTTTTCTTCCGGTATAAGACGTGAATCGAACTTTCTCTTGCAGGTCAAACCAGCTGGATGCGTCTATAAAATGCCTGTCACTTTCGAACGGTTCATTGATCTTACTTTCTGCTTTGGTCCAAGCTCCCTCGAGATAACACAACACAGGCTTGAAGTACTTGCGATAGTCTCTTACGGTGTGGTTTTGATTTTTCCATGCCCTGAACCATTCTCGCATTTCTTCAATCTGTTCATTGACATTGCTCTTGCTTGTAACCTCTGGTGGAACGTCTGGGAAAGGAATGTTCTCAGTTGCGTGTAACTTCTTGCTGGTTCTGTGAGGCATGTACAAGCGATAGTCATTGTGTCTTGTACGGAACTCCACCCCGTTGAGGACTCCAATGAACTCTCCCATCCCAACAGTACGGTCATTGTTAGAATGGTCATGGATGGCAAGGACGCTGCCTGAACTGGTATGAGACTGGCCATAGTAGTTACGAGTTCCTTCTCGAGAGAGCCTGATTTGCTTGACACCAGAGTATCCCTCAGATCTTATTCTTTCCTCTACAAATAGTTGTTGTAGCATCGTCTGACGGGCCAAAGCGCTGACGATTTTCTTTGTCGATTCTGCACCTTTAGCGAGGTTTGCAGTAAGGCCATCAATAGCTGCTTTAAGTTGAGCTACAGGATCATCGGGATCAGCTGATTCCACGGCAGAAGGGAACGCCGACAATGTGACGCAGATGAGAAGGAAGAGAGCCTTCATTTTCTTTGAAAAGAAACAAAAAGAAAGGAATTGGATTTCACTTACATATGGCATAGTTTCATTGATCATTGTCTTCTCATCCCTCTTTTCGACTGACTGACTGACTGACTGAC